AATGGCCGGTCGCTTTGTGGCACGCTGGATATTAGTAGATGAGGATCATTCTGCTTCAATTGGACGCCTCTCATCCAGCGAGCAAGAACTGCTTAGGAGGAAGTGGGTTTCCTGTCTGCGCGTTCCCAGGCTTCAAGTGTGAGCCCGGCGCCTGGAGGGTCCTTGGGCGCCTGGAGAGGAGGAGCTGCGGACTGCGATCCCCAGCCAGTCCCGAGGCATCTGCCTCCCACTCCAGCCAGGCCCCGGCCCCTGGCCGAGCGGTCTCTCCAGCAGCAGGCGCAGCAGCAGGCGCAGACCGCCCAGGCGGCGGCGGCGGCGATCTCAGTGGGCAGCGGCGGCCCCGGCCTGGGCGCGCACCCGGGCCACCAGCCGGGCAGCGCGGGCCAGTCTCCGGACCTGGCGCACCACGCCACCAGCCCCGCGGCGCTGCAGGGCCAGGTCTCCAGCCTGTCCCACCTGAACTCCTCGGGCTCGGACTATGGCACCATGTCCTGCTCCACTTTGCTATATGGTCGGACCTGGTGAGAGGACTCTAGGCCGCGCCTAGCCCAGCACACAGCCTCATTGCTTCCCCTCCTGCCCGCCATACACACCAAGTACCCGGCTCTCCTAGCCTAGCGCTTCGGCTTTTCTAAAGAACCTGTCCGGTTTAGACCAAGGGAAAAAAAACACAAAGACCAAACTGCTGGATGTCTTTCTTCTCTCTCTCTCTCTCTCTCTCTCTCTCTCTCTCTCTCTCAAATTTGTGGGGTTTTTTTTAAAAGAAAATAAAAATAACCAAGGGAATCCAATCTTTTAAGGAACCTTTAAACAGAGAAGGACATAACAAGAACAACTTTCCAGGTGTCTTTTAGGTGGTTCAAATGGTTTCCCACGCTCGGGCAGGGCATCCTCTATGCTGACATGGCTCCGGACTCTGAAGATCACAAACTTCACTCTGGGTTCACTGTGCCAGCCAGCATAGTGGACTCACTTGTAAATACCAAGATTTCTTTGAAGGGGAGATGGGGGCTGGGGAGAGGAAGGACACTTCCACAGAACCCACTTGTCACTGACACAAAGGAAATGCCCCCTCCCGCAACCTTCGGCTGCCCGGCTCAGCCCGCTGGCCCTGGCGAAAACTGTTTCATGTTTGATGTGAACCTGTAGCTGTAAAATGCTGTCAAAAGTTGGACTAAATGCCTAGTTTTTAGTACTATGTACATTTTATTGTAAAAACCAAAACTAAACAAAACAGTCCCGGTCCCACCCCCAGCCCATCATTTTTTTTATGGGCACTGACAAATCTGTGTATATTATTTGGCAGTTTTGGTATTTGAAGCGTCAGTCTTTTTCTGTTGTAACTTATGTAGATACCTGACTTAAATATAGTTCCTAAGAAGCTTCTAATAAATTATACAAATTAAAAAGGTTCCTTTTCTGATTAAAAATCCACCTTTTGTTTGGTTTTGATTTGGCTTTAAATGGCATTTTTGGTTGGAGGGGGCGGTCATCATTGGCCTGAATGGATTTGAATTGTTTAGGGTCTCAAAGGATCCTGAACCAGCTAAGGAGTCCTGGCCTTCTGCCTCCGAATTGAGTAGAACCAAAACTTGAGCGGTCCTGAGACTTGGCAATAAAGAGGAGAAGAGCTAAACTACTTCCTTCAGGAGGGGAAGGGAGGAAGGAAGAGAACCAGACCAAAGATCTAGTTTTCAGAGCCAGGCTTCTGCTTTTTGAAAGTATCTACTATGGTCTTATACAGCTAAGTCAATTACCCTGAATGAGCAATTATTTTTACTGAACCGGTTGCCCCTGTAGATTTCTGCATCAATCTTTTATTTCTAACTCGCAGCCTAGTCTCCTTGGAATTAGAATTTGGTGGGAGGTTGTTCTCAAAAGTGGAAAAGTCTGTTACCAGTTCCGCTTCTACTCTGAAATGGCTATTCCTATCCAAGGTTGGCCGCAGATCCCTGCTTTTCCAGGCCTCTCCGGCCTCGGAAGGTGTCCTGGCCCTGGGAGGTGTCCAACTGGGCTGCTGGCCTGGGGACACCCTCCTTCCCTCCCCACAGGACTTTGGGAGCTGGATTTTCCTCTTTGTTCTACTGGTTTCTATATCTGGGCTCCTAGATCTTATTTTTCACTTATTCCCAACTCTCTGTCTCTCCCTGACCAACCTACCCCCAGCAAAAAAATTGAAATATTTAATGTTTCCTCCTTCCTCTTATTTCCTGGTTTCTTTGGTGCCCAGATGTGGCTATTGGGGAACTCTCAGGGTTACCTGGGGAGGAGAGGAGAAAGTAGTGGTTCTGTATAGAGAGAAATCATAGTACCAGGATGGGCTGGTGTCCCTTCCTCATCAAACCCTGATAAACCTGCAAGGAAACCTGGCGAGTGGGCTGCCTGCAGATGCCCCTCCTAGCACTTTTTCCTAGGCCTGGAAGTGTTTGATTGTGGGGGATGGATTTATATTTATCATGTACTCACTTCTTGTCTAGAATTTCAACTTTTCTCTTTTTGCTCTCCCTTCCCCATCATTTCTTCCTCTCTTCTCTTCTTGACTTCCACCCTCACCCCTCAGGAACTTTTGAGGGAAGTCCTCAGGCCTCAGGCCTTTTCCCATTACTGCAGTCCTCTTGGTCGACTTCCTCGGGCTTCTGCTTCTCTCCGGTGGTGCCTTGGGACTGGGGCCAGGATGGGCTTCCTCCCCTTGGATTCTGGCTGCTTGAGATCTGCTTCCATATCCTGAAAAGACTTGGGGATTTAGAAAGGATGATCGGTTGGGTCTAGGGAGTGTGCTAGTTGGGGGAAATTTCGGCAGGTCTCACCTTTTGGAAAACAAGCAAACATCCAGGACCGGATGTTTATACACGTGTGTTGGGAGGGGCAGCAGTGGTCCTGGACAGGGTGTGTAAGTGGTCAAGCCGCCCAGCTCAGGGCCGGGAGATGTTTGGCACCTAAGGTCCCAATTCCGTGGGTGTGGGAGCTTCTGATCAACATGGCCAGTGCTCAGCAACAAGCCTGGTGGGGGACAAGATGGGCAGTGCCCGGCCAATGGCCAGAGCCGTTGCCATCCCCGCCCTATGCTAGCCGAGAGCAGGTTTCTGACCGTCACAATTTTAATGGGCTGTGGTACTCTCAGCAGTGGATGGAGTTTCTATGGAATGCATTCTTCATCCGTTTGGCTGGAAAGCCAATTTAGTTTGAAGTCTGTTTATTTGTCCCGGGAAAGGGTAAATTCAATGGGTCTGCGGATGGGACGCAGACAATAGGGCCTTGGGTCCACCAGCTCCCGCTCCTGGCCAGGAGATTGTGGCTGCAGGAAGCAGGTTTGGAACGCAATTTGAAGCCTTTGATAGGGAAGTAGGTGCACGCTCAGTGTAGCCAAAAACGCATCATGGAGACACCCTCTGCCCCCCACATCAGCCCCTGCAAAGGCCTGGAGTGGACCTCCTCTAGGACTCCAGTACCTCTGGCCTGGGTCAGTTCTGGCCTCCCCCCGAGGGACGCATCAGCCTTCTGAGGACGCTCCTGGCGCTGACATGCCTGGAAGAGCCCAAGGCTTCCCCAAGCGTGGCGGCGGCGCAATTCGCCTGGAGATCCAGGCGACGCTGCTGAGCGCCCCCCTCCCCCGCAAGCACCCTAGGCCCTGACGCTGGGGAGAGTGGGGGGATTTTGCAGACAGCATTCCCCCTTTCCTCCTCTCCCCCACCCCCACCCTGCCCTGTGAACAAGAGGACTTCCTCGAGAGCCCTGGAGAGAGGCTCTAGTGGCTCGGGGCCTGAAGCCCCAGGCTTGGCTTGTTTGATGTTGAGCATCCTGGAGCGGCTTCCCACCCCCGCTCCAGCCTGGGAACCCGGATCTGTTGGTCAGAGAGGCAGGACAGCAGCCCTCTCAGCAGGGGCTGGGGGCCGAGCCGGGTTCTGGGGAAGCCAGAAGAGCGGGGCACAGACGCTCTGAGCCGGTGGAAGAGAGCCTGGGCTGCGGCCGCCGGCAACAGGAGCCAGAGCAGGTACAGCCGAGTCCTCGAGGCCAGGAAGCGGGTGAGGGGCCGGGACTGCCTCAGCGGCCCGCAGCGGCTCTGGGAGGGGGCTGGCCCGGTGGGAAGTAGCCGGCTTAAGATTCCCCTGAGCCAGGCCACAGCCCACGCCGCGGGAAGCGCTCAGGACGCGGACTCCTGGAGGCGGGGAGGCCCGCGCGCTCCAGTCCAAGAGCCGCGGGAGGCAGCTCTTCTTCCCACGGCTTAGGGATTGGCCTTTCAGAGGACGACCTGCTCGGGAGCCTTCGAAGGGATTGTCAATCCTCCCGGGGCTGGACGAGGCCTAGGTCTGGCAGCGAGGTCTGCGATTTTGAACCCAGAGAGGAATTCTCAGACTTTAGAGGCCGCGACGCTCTCCCGGCGCGCCCCCCGGCCTGTGCGCGCCGGCGAGGGGCTGTCTCCTGGCGCGAGGGCACCAAAGGTAGCGCGAGTCTCTTCCCAGGCGACCCAAGCGAGATAAGAGGAAATGAGAGCGGGGTGTTCTGACTTCCACCTCATTAGGGATCAGGTAAGGTCAATGCTTTCTCTATTATGTCTTTATCTTAAAAGCGGGTCAATTTAAGATAAAGGAAAAAAAGCCCAGGATCTGTGTGAACTGTGCTGATAAAAACTGACCCCTTTTCTGAACTAAAAGCAAGCCAGGCAGACCATTCATTTTCTATAAACAAGAGAGTTGTGAGAAGCTGCTGTGAATTCTGATCGAATGTCTTCTCTCTCCAGACATCGCCCCCCCCCCCCCCAACTGTTAGCGGGGGAGCAGAGTGCGCAGCGATGTTATTTGTGGAGAACTAGAAAGCCTGCTGGGAAATGTGAATCTGAGATTAAATGGCTCCTAGGCATGGTTTGCTGATTTGTTTGTTTCAAATTCGGCTTTCTTTTAGAATGGAAGGAAAATGACCGACTCGAGTACTGAGAGGCATGAAGCTGAATTTTCCTTGCTCAGCCAGGAGAGCCTGGGCACCGCCTTCCTCTGGCTCTCCCTACCTTCTTGGTTGGCGTGTTTGTGGTTGTGCAATTGTATTTTTGCAGCTTCAGGCCACCCTCTGTGGGGCCATTTTGGCCTCCTGCCTCAACTTCGAGTTCAGAAATTTTTCTAGCGCCTCTTTGGCCAGTAGCTTCTGGAAGGAGTGTCCTTATCCCGAGTCACCGTCTGCAGTGAGCTTGTCCACCCCAGGGCCTGGAGGAATTGGGTATGGATGGGAGTAAAGATTGTTTTATTGAAGGGGAGGTCCAGGGTCCGCATGCCTCCTCCCCGGTGTAAATGTGTTTCTGAACTTTTCCCGATGATTCTCAGAGGAACGGAGGAGGAGCAGGCTGTGCCGGAGCCCCCGAAGCCATGGCTGAAGTGGCTGGCTGCACTTCCCACTGACAGTGACCTAATGCCCTACTTGGAGGGCATCTAGGAATGGCCCCAGGCTCCTCATATGATAATGTTTCCCATTTGGCCTCTGCTTCTTAAACATGTCCTGTCTTTGTTATTTATGAATTGTAACAGTTTTGGGAAGCATAAGGTTCAAATCCATTTTCCCGTTTTATTTCTTTTTAGCTACTTGCAGGGCACTGTAATATAATCAATCACTATTTGTGCTCTGCTTGAAATGGAGATACATATTTTAAAAATTGCAGGCAATGGGCCTTGCTAAAGAGGACCCTTTCCTCTAACACAATAGTGACATCTGATTCTGCCCACTCTGTATGTAAGTATAAGTGCTTGCATACAGACACCTGCTTGTGTGTGTATCATAGGAGTACATGCACACATACATCTATCTTATATGTCTATTTTATAATAGACTTAAAAATTTTTTAACATAGGATTCTCTTAGTAGGGGTTCATAGAGAATCTGTTACATGCAAGAAAGTTGAACACATTCATCAATTAAAATGTCATGTGAAACTGAGTTTCCCCGAAAAAAACAACAACAACTAAGTAGACAAAAACTTTCCTAAGTTTTGCCAACTTTGAATTGGACCATTAATTTAGCCTCACGTGAAATGAGAACTAATTACATTATGGAAAATATTAAAATTGATTCTTAAAGAAAATGAACTTGTTGCCTGAGACACACAGCTGTAGATGAGACTTCTTGAAGCAATCTATAACAAAAATTGCTTTCATTGTCGCACCTAGATCATCCACTAATAAAAATCATTAATATAAGTTGTTTGTACTATTGCCAATTAACAAAAACAATGGAAATGTTTCTGACCCTTGTTAGTAGCAAATGCTCCCCGCCCCCACTCCCACCCTCCATTCACGGAGCAGTGGAAATAAGAGGGCAGGTCTGAGTGTAGTCCGACAAGGAAAAGTATTTCATGCATTTCCGGGAACCCTGTCTTTGACTGCTAGATAGAATTGTCAGTAACACCAGGCTGTTGGTACAGTGTTAAACATTGCATTTCTAGGGATTTGGGTGATTGTTGATAGTGTCTTTTCTACAAAATAATAGATCTCAGGCCACATGAAAAGAGTCATTGGATAACCTTCCCCAGTTGTGAAGCCCTGTAGTCTTTCTTGGGAAAATCAGAGAATGGCAGGCTTCTGCATTGCCTAGCACTCTCCCTCCCAATGCTGCTGCACGAAAGTGTCCACAGCTCTAGGAAAACAAGGGTTTATTTGGTCCAAGTGCCTCCGATTTACCTGATCTCCCCAGAACACACAGGGCTGAGTGCATGCGCTCAGATGTAAACCTGGGAATTACCGTAATGACACGAAGAGGACTGAGAGAGAGGTAGTGCCCCTAAGCTAGCTGCTGGCTCTGTTCTAATTTAGGAGACTAGGTCGGTGTTTTAACACATCTGGCTATGCCTGTATAGGGAGCGAACCCAGCCAGTTAGGGTCCCTGCAGGCTCCCCCCAAAGCACCAGGTTTCTAAACTGACTTGGAGGGGCAGGCTCTTTCAGAGGAGACGCTGAAGCCTTGGAGGATTAAACCTCTCTCCCCACCAGGCCACTCCACCACCCTGGAGGTCTGCAAGGGTGGGAACTAAGGGAGGAGGAGTGAGCTGGGCAGGAGGGCTTCATCCTTCCCTTCTGAGTGTGCTTCAGAAAGAATTGCAACCTTTGCAGCACAAGTGTGCACAGAGCACACCACCCCCTCTAGCCAAGGCCAGAAGTTGTAGCTAGTTCATTACTACTCACCAACCTGTGATATTCACTGAAAAGTTGATTCCTGCTCCCTGGCAGGTCTGCTGAGGCTGAAGCCTAGGCGTGGTAAGCTTTGGAAGTGCTGCAATCCATCATACCCGCAACTCACACAGCAGATAAAGCTCAGATATCTGTCTGCACATCACAAGAGCTTCATACAGAAATTAAACAGGAGACCCTCTGAAAATATTTAACAAAAAGTCAACCCACCCACAGCCATAATCTAGCACTAGATGGAGGCAAAGAGAACGTCTTTGAGATGTATGGTAACATACAAGGACTTCATTGCATCCCTAACAGTTGACATTCACCTTCCTGTATGAACTGTTTTCCAACAACTACAGCTGCCACACCAACACAAAATTAGTTGTTGAAAAATTTTGACATGGCTGAATACTTAGATTTTGTTGGTTGTCTGTCTATGGAAACTGGGAGTTTGTGTTTATGCTTCTGCCCATTGGTAAGACAAGAGAGGGAAGGAGAGGGGCCTGGAAAGGAGGCGAGGGGAAGAGGGAGGGACAACTGTGCCTGGGAAAGTGTGTGGGACTCTGCTGGTGCTTTTAACATAGCTGAGTCTTGCTGGTTCTAGCTGGTCTTTGGGTCGAAGTGTTGGGGCAGAAGTGGTAGAATGTGTGGTGTGCATGATGTTTCTGGAGTGATGCTAGTGGGGAGGGCAGGGGAGCCTGCTGGGAGGCAGTGTGTGTACCACGTATTTGCCTCGGGCCAGTAATACAATGGCCACGTAATTATCCAGCTGAAACAGGCCCAAATAGCAAAAAGTTTCAAAATAGATCAACCTCCCCGAGAAGAGAGGGAGCTGGTTACTGAGGTCTGCAGCCATCATCCTTTTTTCAATACATTTTAAACAAGAGGATCTGGGGAGTGATTCCAATTCAATACACATAATCAGTTTGCAAGTCTTATTTCCATTTGAAAACAGGGCCATTTGCAATCATAAGAGCCGGACACGCTGAAAGATACCGAGTGCTTTCTGAGCGGATGATGGGTGACAGAATCTGCAGGCAAGCTCTAAATATTTCTTCAAGCCTCAGACCTTATGCATCAATCTTCAGTCCCGTTGTATTTTGAAGCGAATATTCCTGTTGAATATATAACTTAATTGCTTAGAAAATCTCAGCTCGACGGTTGGAGGGGTGGGGGTGGGAGGGACTGACAAAAATGGTGAGAGAGAAACCACGTTTGTGCTTCTCGGCGCTGGTTAAGAGTCATTCAGAGAAGAGTACACAGGTACAAGATTTGATGGAAAATTCAAACCTCTTTCTAAAGTAAGGGCCGCCAGAAGAAGTTGTCTGAGGCTAAAATTCTCGCTGGGAGCCGCAAAGCCCGGTTTGGGTGTGGCGGGGCCAGGGCTCAGAGCTGCGACCGAAGGCCGGACGGCTCCGCGGGCTCCCAGTGGCATCGCCCAAGACCTGGGGGCTCCTGGCAGCCCCGCGGTTTCCATTGGTTGTCAGAGGTCTCAGCGGGAAGTGTGGGCACTGACAACCTGCGGCTATTTTTCTGGTCTTTCTTCGTAGAAAGTTTTTGTTCCCAGGACCTGGAGAAGCAGCTGTCAGGGACCGAGCCCTTCTTGACCGCGGACTCCGTGCTCCAAACTCGGCCCAAGGCCCCCCTCCCCCGGCCTTCCCTCCAACACCCAGCGCGGCCTCTCAATCTGCTCCCCGAAGCCTCCCCTGCACCTCTTGCCTGGCCAGCGGGCGGTTTCTTCATCCGGTTCCACATCCGGAACCACTCGGCCCCCAACCCCTTCTGGAGCGGCCCCCAACCCCTTCTGGGGACCAAGAAGCCTGGTGCGCAGCAGATGAGCAGAAATGTCCCGTGAATTTCTGCCCCAGAATATATAGATATTAGTTCACTGGGTTCCCAAGGGCACCCAAACCGTAACTTGAAGGAATATTTTAAACAATCTTAAAACGCAATAACTAATGGCTGCTATTTCCCTGTTGCGTTTTCCTGAGGTAAAGGTTATTGTCTCTGCTCAGATACCAACATCCAAGGAGAACTTTCTAGTTATCTGGAACTCAGACTAGTAATAGTGTGTGCTCAATGCCATTCCATTTTTATTGTGAAAGGGGATAACTTATTAACTTCCAGTTGGCACCTCTTGGGCAGGCGCTGTGTTTTAGACATTCTTACAAAGCATTTTTGCCCCTGGGAGGATCTCAGGAGACCCAACAGATGGAGGGGCCTGTGGGAGGGAGTGGGGTCTGCACAAGTCCTGCTGGCTTGCTCAATTATCTGCAAACTTTTCATAAAAGCCCTGGTTCTTTTAAACAGATGTCAAATTACGGAGACCACAAAGATCTAAAGATCTCTCTCTCTCTCTCTCTCTCTCTCTCTCTCTCTCTCTCTCTCTCTCCAGCTGTAAACTCTCTAGATTTCCCTCCTTTCTAGAATCTATCTCTGGATAAACAAGAGTGGTCCTGAGGCCCTAATTCATTCTGAACCAAGGATGAAAGGTCAGGCCTCCCACAACAGAGAGCCTCCAGGCCCCTATTTTCTGCACGGGGAGGACAGAACTACCAGCACTGACAGGAGTGAGGATGAGGCTGGGGTGGTAAGACCCAACCTGCAAGGGTGAAGGGGAGCTAGCTAGCTCACTCACCTGAGGACAGGGCTTGGCTGGGCTGGGTAGGCAGAGGGGGGCACAGGAATGTGCCCCAGAGCAGCTGTGCACCAGAGCAGGCTCTCAGGGCAGGAAGTTTCAGCCACCTGACCACCCCATACCAGTGCGATGACTACGCACATGACCATTTCTAGGAGTGGTGGCTGATTTGTGCTGACTGCTTCCCACCCTCCTGGGCCTCCCTAGGAACCAAGGATGCATAAGGCTCAGGGCTATTGCCTCATCGGGAGCAATCCCCCGCAGCGAGAGGAAGCCCCAGCCTTCCTGCTCAGGGAGCCCCCTCCCTGCCTCCCGTGGTAGATATGGGAGGCCCTCATTAGGGTCTAAAAGGTCACCAGTAAGAGCATCATATCCTTGTATTTAT